TAATGCAGTGTGTTTGTGTAGTGTGTGTATATAATGCAGTGTATTTGTGTAGTGTGTGTATATAATGCAGTGTATTTGTGTAGTGTGTGTATATAATGCAGTGTATTTGTGTAGTGTGTGTATATAATGCAGTGTATTTGTGTAGTGTGTGTATATAATGCAGTGTATTTGTGTAGTGTGTGTATATAATGCAGTGTATTTGTGTAGTGTGTGTATATAATGCAGTGTATTTGTGTAGTGTGTTTATATAATTCAGTGTGTGTTTGTGCAGTGTGTATTTGTGCAGTGTGTATTTGTGCAGTGTGTGTATATAATGCAGTGTGTGTGTTTGTGTAGTGTTTATATAATGCAGTGTTTGTGTGTAGTGTGTGTATATAATGCAGTGTGTTTGCATAGTGTGTGTATATAATGCAGTGTGTTTGCATAGTGTGTGTATATAATGCAGTGTATTTGCGTAGTGTGTTTATATAATGCACACTACACAAACACACACTACATTCACTATACACACACTACGCAAATACACACACACACACACTCTGCATTCATTATATACACACACACTTTGCATTTAGTATATACAGCATTCACTTTACGCACACTACACAAACACTCTGCTTTCATTATATACACACTACACTAATACACACTGCATCCACTACACACACTAAACAAATACAAACTGCATCCACTACACACACTAAACAAATACACACTGCATCCACTACACAAACACACATTGCATCCTCCACACACACTACACAAACACACACTGCATCCACAACCCACACACTACACAAACACACACTGCATCCACAACCCACACACTACACAAACACACACTGCATCCACTACACACACACACTACACAAAGACACACACTGCATCCACTACACACACACTACACAAAGACACACACTGCATCCACTACACACACACACATACAGCTCCCCTGTCACACTGCATCCACTACACGTGGCATGTATATTTTGTGCATTTACCTTTAGAAATAGTTTTTATTTTCCAAAATGGTAAATGTACAGAATATCGGCAAATTATATCGGCTATCGGCCTGAAAGTTCACAGAATATCGGTATCGGTATCGGCTCTAAAAAATCAATATCGGTCGATCCCTAATCATGGCACTAGAAAAAGTGCAGAGACGAGCTACAAAATTGATAAAAGGAATGGAGCATTTTAGTTACAAAGAAAGGTTACAAAATTTAAATGTCTTTAGCTTGGAAAAACGGCACCTCAGAGGGGATATAATAACATTATACAAATATATTCGGGGCCAGTACAATCCATTATCTGCAAATCTATTCATAAACAGGGCTATACATAGGACACAAGGCCACACATTAAGGCTGGAAGAAAGGAGATTTCATCTAAGGCAAAGAAAGGGTCTTATTACAGTAAGAGCAATAAGGATATGAAATTCTCTGCCTGAAGAGGTGGTTTTGTCAGAGTCACTAAAGAGGTTTAAACTGCACCTGGATAAATACTTGCAAAAACATAACATACAGGGATATAATTTTTAATTAGTGGGGTAATAGCTGCTTGATCCAAGGAGACATCGGACTGCTATTTTGGTGTCAAGAAGGAATTTTTTTTCCTAGTTTGTTGCAAAATTGGAAGCACTTTGGTCTAGGTTTTTTGCCTTCTTTTGGATCAACAGCAAAAACATATGTGAGGAAGGCTGAACTTGATGGATGCAAGTCTATTTTCAGCTATGTAACTTTTTCCCCTTTTGGTGTCAAGCTTCTGTGAATTCCAAAGTTATATCAGTTCCTTTCCTCCGTCCACGAGCAGTGTATTAACAGTGCTGTGCACACTGGCAGTCCTGGTTGACTGGCTAGTAGCTGTGGGTCATCCTGCTGCTCTTTGTAATATAAACCACAGAGATTCTGCAACTCGCCGACCAATGAGAACACACCAAAAATAGCACTGTGATCTAATTAGTGGCTTGTGATATGCAAGTTGCAAACAGAGAAGGCTACTTAAAAGGGATACCGTAGGCACCCAGACCACTTCAGCTCATTGGGTTAGTAACCCCTCAGTGCCGCGGGAGGGGGCCTTGACAGAGAAGGTAGCTATAGTGCCAGGAAAATACGTTTATTTTTCTGGCACTATAGTTTCCCTTTAAAATAGTGATTTCCGTTACTTGCAGGGGAGACTAATGTAGACAAGGTACACTAAATAAAAAAAATTTAAAAAAAAAAAAGGTATTCAGAGAGATTATTTAGCAAATAGTGCATATCTGTTTACCTGCTCCCAGAATTAGGCTGGACCACAGATTGACATGAAGCATCATTTGGTAGGAACCAGTCTGGAAATTCGCCCGCATGTGGTCCTGAGACACCCCTGTCAGCCCATCAAGGGTCAGAGAGAGAAGCTAAGGGAAGAAGAAAAGAGGTTTGTGTAATTAACGTATTATGTGCTTTCAGTAGCCAGCCTGGAATGAGAGATTGGGGATTGCCAATGTCCATTCTGTGCATTGCGCATACACAAGCGCTTATTCATTGGCTCATAGCGCTCAAGTGACACTCACAGCCAATGAATGAATGCCAGTTATGTCATCTGCAGCTATGCAGAAGTTGCATGTGGCCTAGTCTCTATCCTTGGAAGATGGTGCTCAGAGGGACACAGACAAGCCTTTGCAAAATGGCTTGTTAGAGGAGATTGCTGACTAGATGCGCATGGCACTATAACCACTACAGCTGCACTGGTTATGATGCTTTGATAAACTTAAAAAAAAAAAAAAACAGGCATAAAAAAGAAAAAAAAAGTATATAATTAAAAACGTTACTTTTTGTTTGAAATGTATCCTTTCATTTTTGTAATTAAGAAGGTCAAAAGGTCAAGCGGGGCTCATTCATGGTAAGAGTAACAATACCATAACCATTACTGCTCTTTATCTGTACAGATGAATTTGCCCCAAAAAACCCCAAACACACAGGATCAGTTGTAATTTTCCATAAAGTGTCTGGGGTATTACTAAAGATCAAATAGAGTGAAAATATATATATATATATATATATCTCAATCATAAGGACATTAGTAGTAAAGACAAAGTTTGAAATCAGTGATCGCCGTGGGATTGTGCCCAGAGAGCTACTTACAGAGATGTGTTTATTTTGGTAAAGAGCTAACAACAGGGAATAATATTGACCTAATGATTTTTAAACAGTCAAGGTATTAACCTGCTGAGCAGCGTAATGACCTACTTGCATCCAGAACTTTACTCACCAGCAGCAGTTCTCCGTAGCCAAAGACATGGTCATCACCGGAAGAACCGGCGTTCTTGGGCTTGTACATAAAAAGCGCTACCCCCAGGACAATGAGGAGCACACATAGGTACTTGGTTAGAGGGTATTTCTTTCTAAGGACGGTTGCTCCCAGAATCATCACTGCAGAAAAAAAAAATATATATATATAAATAAATATAAAAAGTTAAAAACTATTTAACAATCTATAACAAAATAGATCCTTGCTAAACAGCTAAAGAAATATATATAGTAATTAGACTGGGTTTTAACTATAATGCTTTCTCTATTACTTTATTAAAGGAATACCCCAAGCACCATAACCACTACAGTTTGGTTATTCCCTCCCTTGTAAGTAATCAAACCACTAACAGATTAACTTCTTAGCTGAACTCCACTGGGCGAAGGCACTGCCTCTTTTCTTGTGGTCTGAGAGGTAGCATCTTCCAATAGCTCTCCTCAGCTTATCCACGTAGTACAGGGCCAGCTCATTGGCGGAGGGCATCAGTTGATTGCGCTCAAAGAGCTAATGTCTGCAACGCCGAGCACTTGGCCAGTTTTCATTTCAGCTAGAGTGGCGTTTATGGCAGTCTTTGAAGTAACTTTGATTTCTCACTTTAGTGAATAACCGAGATAATACTCAGTAATTCATCTTTAATGCAATAAAACCTGGTACTGTATAAGTATGGGGGAGAAAAAAAAAAAGACTTAATAAACCCAAAGGTTTACAGGATAAGTAGTTCATCTACTATAAAGTATATACAAGAAGCAAATCTGACACAATTAGCCTCTTCCCAAGTTAAAGGACCACTATAGGCACCCAGACCACTTCAGCTCAATGAAGTAGTCTGAGTGCCAGGTCCCTCTAGTTTTAACCCTGCAGGTGAAAAAACATAGCAGTTTCAGAGAAGCTGCTTTGTTTCACTGAGGGTTAATCCAGCCTCTAGTGGCTGTCTCACTGACAGCCGCTAGAGGCGCTTCCGCGATTCTCACTGTGAAAATCAGTAATGCTTTCATATTGGCGGTTTGAATGAGCGCATGGCTCTTGCCGCGCATGCGGTGCTGTCGCCAGCAGGAGGAGGAAAGATCACCAGCGCTGAGGGAGAAAGGTAAGGTTTTAACCCCTTAAGCCTAGTGGGAGGGACCTAATGACCGTATAATGCCAGGAAAACTAACTCGTTTGTTTTCCTGGCACTAAAGTGGTCCTTTAATATAAGCTCTGGTTTCTGCCATCTTGCACTGTAACTTTGCCGCCTTCTTATTTGTGAATAGAGTTATTGGGCCTGCAGTTAAAAGGTATCTCATAAGACGTCATGAGAGGCGCCACACAACATCCCAGGGTAGTGAAGGAAATTCAAAGTGAATTGCAAATTTTAAGTCAAAAATTGTTGAACTGGAATAATTCTCCCAGTCAACTCTGCTTTCAGTTTATCTACTTTGGCCTTAAATTTGAAACTCACTTTGAATTCAAGACCTTGCTCACTTTAGTGATTCATCCCAATAGGTGATGATGTCACATACCTGTAATTTTGCAAGAAAAAATAAATTAAAAAAGGAAATGTTGGAGAAAGGAAAAGAGAGAAAGACAGACATTGATCTAGTGTTCGGAAAATGGAAAGAAGCAAAAAAAACAAAAAAAAAACCCACACAAAAACAAAAACATTCACTTTGTAAACACAAACCACCTATGTATTCTATGGGTACCTAGTGATCATGCAGTTTTATTTAAACACAATAAAGCAGACTTGAAAATCAATTCAAAATATGTAAATATGGACCAATAATATTCCCACTTCATTTTAAATTTAATTTGATTTTCTTAATTTTAAAGCAGGAGTAGGTAACCTTTGGCACTCCCGATGTTGTGAACTACATATCCCCTGATGCTTTGCCAGCATTTTGGGAGATATAGTGTGCAACATCTGGAGTGCCGAAGAATGTCTACCCCAGGCTTAAAGGAACACTCAAAGATATGTGTTGGGATTCTGACTATTGCTTCTCACCACACTATGATTCTACACTGTAGCAGTTAATTTTCATAAAGATGGTGATGTCAGTCACTTGGTACCAGCAAATAAGAAACCTATTTTTTTTCTTTTGTTCTATACACTAGGATAAAGTTTTGCTGACACTATACAGATTGTTTAATTCTCCATGCGAATAATGCTCTGACAGTCTAGGAGACACATGGCCTTTCACAGAATTCTCGGCAGCAACTGACACCCATAGTCTACACAGTGGGAACAAAGAGGGGATTGTGGACAAAGAGGTGGAGGGAAAGAGAGCAGTCAAAAAGAACATAGAAAGTATTATAGTCCAGAGGAATGTAAATTTTGCATTATCTACTCACCTGGTATAGGTTTACAGGACTTCCCCAACACCTAGAAGACAGCAGAACAAGTTATATATCATGTAAGTGTGGTCAACTCTCCAAGCCATCCTTGCACCCCTATCCCCGTATGTGATGTCTTAAAACGCTTAACCCAGTTATGACAAGGGCTGTTTTGTACAGAGGTCAAGAGCACCCCCCACCCCCAGTTTGCCTTTGTTTATTGGACATTTTCCTCTCTCTCATTTACAGCACACTTGTTAAACATAAAACAAAATAGAAAAACTTGGAATATATATATATATATATATATATATATATATATAAAAATTTTTGTTTTTTTAATTTTCTCTTATAATTTATTGACACCTCTGCACTCCTAACCCTCTTTCTATCACTCATCATCACCGTCACTGATGAATACACTTATAATGAATGGTACCGCATTTTAAATAACAAGTTAAATAAACACTATAGGGTCAGGAATACAAATGTGTATTCCTGACCGTATAGTGTTTAAAACCCACCCGCAAAAGGGTCCGCCACGGCTGGCTCTGCTCCTCCGCCTCCTTGGCTGAGATCATCAGAACTGATGAGATCTAATAATCCAATACATTCCCATAGGAGAGCATTGGGAGGCTATTGTGCATGTGTGGCGCCAATCAGCATCTCCTCATTATCTATAGAAGCGTTCAACTCCTCCATGTAGAGTGTGGGGTTGCTTAAAGTCAGTGATGCACACTGTACAGTACTGACCCAGGAAGCACTTCTAGTGGCCATCTGAGTGAATGTCACTAGAGGCATCCCTAGGCCTGAAAAGGCAGTGTTTACACTGAAAAGCCTGCAGGGACATACTATACACACCAGAACAACTGCATGAAGCGGTAGTTGTTCTGGTGACTATAGTGTCTCTTTAGCTCAATTACACGTTTTGGTTATATAGTAACCAAGGAGTTTTATTTGTTTCATGGGAAGAGAGGATTAGGACAGATTATAAACTACTAAGTCTCTCTGCTCACTCACAATTACTGTGAATGAGCACAGAAGCTGTAAACACACATTTCTTGATATAAGTCGCACTTCTCTGTGTTGGTTAATGCTGTGTGTTGGTTAATGCTGTGTACGACTCTTAATCTACAAACAATGACATGGCACAACAGTCACTCGTCATCTGGGCACAGTTTTATGTGACTGTCCCAGCACATCACCTGCCGCGAAAGAACAGCAAAGAAACAGAAATGTTACTAGGAATACCCCAGGCACCAAAAATAGCTCCATGTCGTGGTTGTAGTGACAGGAGTGCCCTGATACCCCCTAAATAGTAAGAAGTCAAACCATTAATGATTTCTGGAATGTTCCTTTTAAAACGGTTTCTAGGATAAAAGGTATTGTAGATCAGATAAGTATCAGGTAGCCTACATCTGTATAGTGTACTGATTTTACAGAGATATATTGTATGTGAACAGCTTCCTACCGGATACCAATGAAGGATAGTTCTGTGACTACTGCTAATTGTTATTAACCTGTATTGACCTGCAGAAACAGACATTAAAAAAAAAGTTGACTTTTTAATGCGTTATTTCTAGATTTTATGTGTATACTTATCAAGTCTGAAAGTTTTTAATGTTCTGCTATAGAAGATATAAGCCGCTCGGTGCCAATATTTCAGATAGGAAGAATGAGAGATAAAGTTTAAATATGCATTCCTATATTTAGAAGGATAATACATCTCGAATATTGTTTTCTGTAAGGGACAGCAAATTCTACATCTATCCATATACAGAAAGTAGTATATACTGTGCTATAATATCAATCACAAAATGTGAACACAAAGCATCATTAGTAGAGACGTACTGGATACTGCACTCACCAGATAACCCACGTGCTCTGAAGCCAGGGCTGGCTGGGCCTCCCGTCCAAGAAATGCAGAATAAATAACGGTTTGGGCACTCCGGGATAACAAAACTAGCAGCTTTATTGGGGCTAAAGCAGCAACGTTTCAACCCTACCGGGTCTTTATCAAGCTCGTTCCCGGAGTGCCAGAACCCTTATATATTCAACAAAGCATCATGACAGAAATATGAACGCAATGTGGGTATTCCTTTCATAACCATATCCTCCCTCCCCAGTTTATGTATAACTGTGTAATATTGTACTATGAAAGCAAGGAATATTTCTTATTCTCACCTGTGTTGGGTAGTTGACATACTGGAGTGCAGAATTGCTGGACACCATAGCACCAACATAAGAAAGGGAGCAAGCCGCATAGAGCCAGCTATGTGTGCGGTCAGCCTTCCCAGACTCAAAGAAGTGGGTTACTGTAGAGACAGTATCAAACAGAAAATTACACCAATGGCATTTGGAATAGTAGGTCTCAGAGAAATTACAAATCGGACACACTTTTTTTTTTTTTTATAGCATGCAGAAGACTGCATATCACTGTACCATATAATGATACACTTACAATCCTTCAGCATGCGGCTACAGAGACAGAAGGCAAGATGGAAAAAGTCAGATTATGATTTACTTACAAAACTTGGCAAATAAAGAATTAACGATGCACTGGACAAAAACAAGTGACAGAGCAAAATGAAATCTCTCCTGTTTCTCTCCTTCTCCATACTTCCCACGTGTTCTGCAAAACAAAACCAGTGTTTCAGGTTACTGGGTTGGGATAATATAAACTATACATAGAAAGGCACTTTGACTTTCAGTCAAAGGTCACGCACAAGTAAGACTTCACATTCAGTTGCTTAAAACATTCTTAAAATGACACAGCAACAGTTATAATGCGGAGAGAGTGGCCTACATCCATTCTTCTGTCCCAGAGTAGTTTATAACCACAGTGATTGGCCGGATCTTATGTCAAACAATGAATCTTACTCCCCCATAACAATCTAAGATCAGTCCAAGTTTTGAATGTAGAGCATACACATTGCAATCACTACGTAGATAGCTCCTTCTCCCCAATGCTCCGAATAATAATAATAATAATAATAATAATAATAATAATAATAATAATCCAAGCCACAGACATGTGCAGTCAGCTCACTGGGAGATGTGAAAGTTGTCTCACTGTTTGCTGCAAATGGGTAAGTTTAGCATGTATAAATATGTATTGAGATAGAGTTGCCAAATCAACTGTTTTCATAACATATGTCAATCACCAATGCAGGACATAAAAAAAAAAATGGCATGCAGTATGCTGAGTTCACAGTTGCAATAATGAAACAAATTCAGTAAAGGGGTATTCTTAGCACCATAACCACTGCAGTTCATTGTCTTAAACGGTTTTTAATCAGTACCTAAAGTCTAACCTACCTGCTTTTACGCAAATAATGCCCCCTGTACAAATCAGTCTAATACAACTTGGTTAATGCTTAAATGGACTTCCACTCTATGCCGTCTAGTCTACACATCGCAGTCGGTAAATACTGCAGTCAACCAATTGCTGCCACTTAAACTTGGCCAGCTTATGCGGAATCCATTTACAAAATCAGCCAAGATGCTGCTCAACAATAGTTTGCCAGAAACATGGGGTACAGCCACAAGACTCTTGTGGACTATAACCCCAATTCAAGAATATAATTGATATGTATGAGAAGGAGAAATCGGATTGCCATTATAGAATCAAGAAGGCATTTCTTCCCTTTTAGTGAAAAAATTGGAAAATGCTACAATTGGGGGTTATTTTGCCTTCTTTTGTATCGAGAGCATAAAAGAATGGGTTTGAGGTTTAAACTTGATGGACTTTTTTCCAACCTAGACAACACTGTAGTAGTTATGGTGACTAAAGAGTCCCTTTAAATAATTGATGTCTCCTCCTGTTAGGCATATGGAGGCAGCCCAGGCAGGGTGAGTGGAGGCTGAGTGGAGGCTGAGTATGGGAGCAGTGGAGGCTGAGTGTTGATGCAGCCCAGGCAGGGTGAGTGGAGGCTGAGTGTGGGAACAGCCCAGGCAGGGTGAGTGGAGGCTGAGTGTGGGAGCAGTGGAGGCTGAGTGTGGGAGCAGTGGAGGCTGAGTGTGGGGCTGAGTATGGGAGCAGTGGAGGCGGAGTGTGGGAGCAGCCCAGGAAGGGTGAGTGGAGGCTGAGTATGGGAGCAGTGGAGGCTGAGTGTGGGAGCAGTGGAGGCTGAGTGTTGATGCAGCCCAGGCCGGGTGAGTGGAGGATGAGTGTGGCAGCAGGGGAGGCTGAGTGTTGATGCAGCCCTGGCAGGGTGAGTGGAGGCTGAGTGTGGGAGCAGCCCAGGAAGGGTGAGTGGATGCTGAGTGGAGGCTGAGTGTTGATGCAGCCCAGGCAGGGTGAGTAGAGGCTGAGTGTGGGAGCAGTGGAGGCTGAGTCTTGATGCAGCCCAGGAAGGGTGAGTGGAGGCTGAGTGTGGGAGCAGTGGAGGCTGAGTGTGGGAGCAGCCCAGGCAGGGTGAGTGGAAGCTGAGTGTGGGAGGCAGCCCAGGCAGGGTGAGTGGAGGCTGAGTGGGCACTCACATGGTCTCCTGTAAGATGCCATAGTAGAAGTAACAGACGAAGACCCCCAGGAAGCAGACCAGCAGCCGCAGCCTCCCGGAGCCGAGCAGCCCCCCGAGCTCCATCTCTCCTGCTGTCACCGGTACTTCCAGCCGCACATCTCGCTCCACCGGGGACCTCATACACAGCAGCCGCGACGAACCCCCGCAAGGACCCCGGGCGGGGCTGTCCAACGCACTGCCGGCACAAATAACCAGGACATTAATGATTAACCCGCCTGCCCTCCGACAGCAAGCGGCCTTTGTCCCCAGTAACTGCTTCCTCGCTGTATTTACTGAATCCGGTAACAGTACGTGTTGCTATCCTCAGCCCTGACTGCCGCCATCTTGCTCCTCTCACGGCAGCCATAGCAACACACGGGTACAGCGGCCGCTGGCAGCCATGTTGGTACACCCCAGCAGGTAAACAAAACTAACAAACAAGTCAAAACCTGGAAACTTTCATGCCTTAGACATTCAGAATTAGAGCTGTGTTATTATTTTCAATAAAGTGCCGCCTTCTAGGGAGCAAAACAGTAAAATACTAATTTATAAAGACACAATAGCACTATAATTGCACTATAATGTAAATACAGAAGATTTTTAGAATTTAAAGAAAGCATGGCATTAATATTACCAGGCTCTCTGGTATAGTATATACATGTATCACTGTATAACAGGACTCTCTTATAATGCATGCAGTTATTATTGCATTGCTATGGGTTTAGATATAAAGTAGCTGCATGCTTCTATTGCACATTATATATATATATATATTATATCAGTGGCTAACAGTGCTTATGGTGTTAGTTATGAAACTGCTCTATCTGCTAATGTGAATTCCATCAGGCAGTTATTTGGCCACCTATATTTTTGGTGGAGGGGGTCCTAGCTCCCAGCAGGTCCCTTGCTAAAGTGATGTAGCCTCATGTGGAGAGTGTTGATTGGTTCTTGGAGGACACACATCCACGTGTAATTACCCAAGGCAATGAATGGGGAGACAGCTGCTTGCTAAAATTAGCCTTAGAAAGTCACCAGAGGCTGGCAAAGCTTCATGGGAGTTGTAGTTCTGAAACAGATGGGGGGTGGGGGGGTCCACTTGCTGGACACCCTTGGTCTCACTGAGCAAAAGTTTGTATAAATACAGCAAACTTTAATGCTGAAAAAGTGCACCAAATGTTTTAATAAAACTAACCAGAATAAGCAGTGGAAATTCTGTTTTATGTAGTAGAAAAAAATACATGGTGTGCATTGGTGTTTAATTTTATACATAAATAGTTGTGGAAGTGGTGTAGTCTCCATGGAAACCAATGGAATGTTTCTGTTGATTTGTTTAACATGTAGAACTCTGTCACATCAGTTATCTTTTTATACATACATGTAACCCTATGTGACTGCAAATTATTTGGTAAGTGTCTTGACTGCTAATCATTGCATAGGATCCTTAAAGGACCACTATAGGTGCCAGGAAAACAAACTAGTCATCGGCTGAATGCAAGAGCCGCACGTGCATTCAGCCAGTCCATAGGAAAGCATTCTCAATGTAATCACAATGAAAATCACAGTGAGAAGCGTGAAAGCGGCTGTCAATGAGACAGCCACTAGAGGCTGGATTAACCCTAAAGTAAACATAGCAGTTTCTCTGAAACTGCTATGTTTACAGCAGGCAGGGTTAATCCTAGAGGGACCTGGCACCCAGACCACTTCATTGAGCTGAAGTGGTCTGGGTGCCTATAGTGGTCCTTTAAATTGTTATCCCCACTCTCTCCTAATTCCAATATCGTACGTACAGCAACGAGTGGGAGGCTTGCTCTCTATCTACCAATTGTGGTATGAAAGGGGAACTATTAACGATCTGTTAGGAATATTTCAATCTGCGGAAAAAATGTGGCGTCTGGGATAGGAAAGAACGAGTGATGTGTTAGGGAGGATAAGAAAATGTTTTAGGTAAGCATGCATGAATTTGGAGAAATATGTGAGATAGTTTTTACTTTTTGTGTATGCCAGGGTGGACATATATGAGAAAAGCATAAATTAAAATATTGATCTGTGGGAAATGTGCAAAAGCGGTATCCTGTTTCATACCTTCCAAGTGTTCCGATTTAGGAGGGACAGTCCCTATTTTAAGCCCAAATCTTTTCAAGGAGCTCCATATAGCTGGTGTATCTGAGTGTATAGGAATGGAATATACAAAGTTGGAGAGAGAGAAGCTCCCACCAAATTTGTAATGGTTGTAGGGTAATGCAGGGCCTAACCCAGAGAAAGAGATAATAGAAGGGGCTGGAACAAGGTCTGCAGAGAGGCACATCCAATTCCAGTCCTATTACCCAATAGAAATTGCTGAATAAAAGTAATTGGCATATATTGCCTGATTTACATATGCATAAAAATAAGAAAAAACATTATTGTCCAATGCTGGATAAACACATCTAAATATCCCAGACACCAAAAAAACGTGAAAAATTAATAATGTAAAAAAGAAGAATAAAAATAAAAATAGGACCAACTGCTGGAGCTGATGAGTACAGAGTGTACTTGTTACAAAGTAGCCAAATATTGATACTGATCTAAGAGTGATATAGAAACAGTATCTAAGGGGAGAATTACAGTGTATAAATAGGTGGATATAATAAGATGAATATAATAATTTTAAGGAGCACTATGGGGTCAGGAATACAAACGTGTTAAAAAAAAAAAAAACATATTAGATGGCTGGCCCTCCCTTACAGCTGTTGAATATAAAACATACCTTTTTTTCCAGCACCACACGGCTCCGCCGGTGCTGGCTCTGCCCCCACTCCACCTCCTTGGCTGAGATTATATTAATTGATGATCTCAACCAATCGCGCATGCACGGCAAGGCACTGCTCTGTATTGAGCATCTACTTACAGAGATGCATTCACTCAATGCATCTCTATAGGAAAAGTTCAGTGCACTTTGCAGCAATGACCCAGGAAGCTCCTTTAGTAGCCGTCTGAGTGACCACCGTTGGCGGTGTCCCTAGGCAATAATGTAAACACTGTCTTTTCAGTCCTTAGGGCCCCCCTCCCGCTGGGCTAAAGGGGTTAAAACCCCTTCAGCCACTTACCTTAATCGGCGCTGGTGACCTCTCCTCCCCCTCCGATGTCAGCTCCCGAGTGGAGCCGAATGCGCATGCATGGCCAGAGCCGCGCGCGCATTCAACCACCTATAGGAAAGCATTACTCAATGCTTTCCTATGGACGTTCTGCGTGCTCAATGCGATTTTTCTGGGTGACTATAGTAGTCCTTTAAAACATCTGCAGGGACATACTATAGACACCATAACAACTACATTAAGCTGTAGTTGTTCTGGTGACTATAGTGTTTCTTTAAGTCCAAAGTAGCTGAACTGAAAACATAGTTCACTGAAACATTTTTTCCAGTTTGGCATTTAAAATGTATTTGAATTCAGCCTGAATTCTCACTTAAGTGAATAATCCTTTATGTCTGTCATCTTCTAATGCTTATTGCAGGCCTTAGTTTCCACTGAGCTTATAAATGAGTTTTAGATCACATACAGGCATCCTAGAGCCAAAATGGCAGACAGGCAAGACTAATTTGTACAGGGGATACAGCAAAATAGTTAGAATTCCAACGGTAGAATCCTGCATTCAAGCAGCGGTAATATGCCCAAGAAATATTTAAAGCACAGATGTCATTTCCAGAGAAGTGGCAGTACCTTATTATTTCAGAGTTTACTGTTGTGAATAGAGCAGAGGGGGTTAAGTACACTAACTTATGTCTGCTGCACTTCTACATTGTGGACAAATAGTCGTCACATGATCTACGGAGCAGTGCAAGTATGCTTAGCGATTTACGCACGGCACTGCAGGTGTTAACTAATTTGCAGAAAAACTGAAATAAAAAAACGGTAAATCGTTAAAATTAGCAAAGCAGTCGCCAACATTTATTTAGCTATTTGGTTGTACTCAAATTTTTGAAATGACCGTTTCCAAGCTTCATTTCAAAATATTTTGTGGTTTTTTTTTAGTGTGTTAGTTAAAGGAACTCTATAGGGTTAGTGATACAAATGTGTATTCTTAATGCTATAGTGCCCTCATCACAGTTTAGGTGAGGACTACAAAAATAAGTTAACTTACCCTTTCACCTACGTTGCGCTCTTCTTTCCGTGGCTGGAGTGTTAGTGCGCATGTGCGGAAAAACGACACACTGTGCCAATCAGTTTTACTCAATTTCATCACAAGAGCCTCTAGTAGCTGTCAGTGTGATTGCCAAATCCCATATTTCCCATTAGAAATATTAGAATCAATGCATTCCTATGTGGGTTTCTGCGTCATGTTGCCAAGTGTTTACTTGGTCAGTGCTGAGGAAACGTCCCTAGTGGCTGTCAGAGTAACAGCTCATTGAAGTGGTCTGGATGCAGTGTCTCAGCACCTTTAACCCTGAATAGGTAATCATTACAGTTTTTAATAAACTGCAGTAATTACCTGCTAGGGTTAGCTCCTGCTCTGGTAGACAGCCACTAGAGGGATTTACAGGTGGTTAGGCAACTTTTGGTCACCGGAATCCCCATAGGAAAGCATTGAATAATGCTTTCCAATGGGGAAATCTTAATACGAGCGCGGCATGCGCATTTGGTCTCCCATGTCGGCGGAGGAGGAGTGAAGGCAGACCCGAGCCAGAGCTAAGGGACATCGGTGTTGTGCCCAGGTTAGTGACAGAAGGGAGTTATTGACCCCCTCTGCACCACATGTGAGGGGCTGGGGGGAGGTGGGCATTAACGGAGGGGGAAGCTATAGTGCCAGGAAAACAAGTTTGTTTTCATGGCACTATCATTTTTCCCTTTAAGCCTTCAAAGTAAACATTGCCATTTCTGTAAAATGGTAAATGTTATAAAATGGTAAATTAACAGGAAATCTGCACCCAGGCCACATCATTGAGATAAAGGTAACTTTAGTGGTTCTTTAAAGCCTTTTTTGAGATATTTATGGAATGTTATTAAAATTTCAAAGTTCCCTTTTAATTTACTGCAGATGTTTAAAATAAGCTAACAAAACCGTATATTTCTTGGCAAATATATGTTTTGATCCAAATGCTTACCACAAACTGATATGGAATAAATGTGGTGTGCAGGATAGGACAGAAGTAATGTGTAAGGGAGGAAAAGGAAATGTTTTAGATAAGCATGCATGAATTGGGAGAAATGTGTGAGATAGAGTTAACTTTTTGTGCATGCCAGAGTGGATATGTATGGAAAAATGTATATTGATTTGTGTGAAATTGGAAAATGTGCTAAAGCTGTAGCGTGTTGCATTCCTCCCAAGTGTCTCTATTTAGGAGGGACAGTCCCTATTTTAAGCTCAA